TAAGCAACTGGTTGAGGATTAGGTTTATAAACCAAGCAATTCTATCTGTAGGCCCGTCTACACAACTGATGATGGGTCTCACTTTAAAAGTGGAGGGGTCGGTAGACGCCAGATCATCAGCGCGTTTTGGATCAATGCCAAAAATTCAAAAATGAACCGCAAGGAGGAGTGTCTTGTCATCACGCGTGACCTAGCGCCATACCTCAGGCTGATCCAATGATCTGACATGGACCCAGTTATCGACCATGTATTACTCTGTGCGGCGGCTATCCACCAACTAACTTAAATACTTACAACAAATAAACGGTAGGTGTTTGAATGAAGCTGTTTCTTATGCGAATACAAATCGATTTATCAAGTTTTATCTGCTAGGGTTATGAAAGTGTTTGGCTGAGTAGATCGCATCTCAATTTGACCTTTCCAGGCTCTGAAGAAGGCGAAACCGCCGAAACGTCAGCAATTGTGTTCTAATAAATTCTATATTAACAACCTCGTGTCTGCTTATTGATGAAAAACATTGAATTATCAATTAATGCCGAGGTTAACAGAAAGTCGGTCATGGGAATTTTGAAGTTAATCAATATGGAATGATTCGAACCAGCATTCAGTTGGCTTCGTATCGTTGTCATCTCAGAAAAGTCGCATCGAGTGGTTAAGACCTCCGCTGTTGGGCATTCGCTACAATTAATAGATAGTGATGAATCATTCCATTACGAACTATTGCTGGCTTTGCCCTGATAACCCGCATCAAAATTTGGATAGTTCTATAACCTAGCGTTTGGGTTACTTTTGTCTCAAATCTTTTAAAAGATTACTTTGTACAATAGTCTATGGGTCGTTACTTTTGTAATGCAAAGTGTTAAATTAAACCCACTTCAAAGCTTTGCGCCCATATTTTGCATGATCTACATAGATAGGTAGGGATGCTCAGCTTTAAGATGTCGCTTAATCTGCAACAAACTCTCGACTTCATTCGAGATCAAGTGGCTGGAATATTTTTCTTCTAACTGTTCCACAGAATTGCTAAGCATCTTCACTGGTATAATCCATCAACACTCTCTTCTTTTCTTGAAAGAAGTAGAATATGCTAGCGAGAGTGGGACCAGAACCAGTTAAAAAGAACTAAATATTGACAGGATACATTCTTAGATAAAAATGTCTAAGACGTAGAGGGGCGTGTGGCGCAGTGGTTGGAGGAGCTCAGCAGCACGCACGTCGAATCGATCCCAGCGCCCATGGCACACCAAGCCCTTCATCCCTCCGCGGTCGACGAATTGATGCCAAACTTGTCTGGGAGGATAGCAGCACTGGCTCGATACATCGGTAGGCCATCGCAAGTCATTGTAAAGGCCAGATATGCATTAAATCGCCTTCAGCGATGCTTTATGAAGTTGATTGCATGGCACATCCCTCAGGGATTGTTCAACGCCGAGAGCTCTATGCTTTTATCCTTTTTTAAGACGTATACAAGATAACCAAAATACTGTTAGATATTGGGAACCTAGACGATCCTGCCAGAGGAAATATCAAAATAATGCTAGTGCACCTGTCGCTTCAATGGCTAGAATTATCAACTTTTTTTCTTTTTTCCCAATTCCTTATGTCCAATTCAAATTTTTTTTTCAAGAATTCCCAAGAAATTCGAGAAATTCCCAAGATCGACTTTCTATTAACTTCGCAATGATTGACAATTCACTGTTTTTCCTCGATAAGCAAACGTGAGGTTGATATTGTTGAATTTTTTAGGATACAGCCTTCTCAGAGCTTCTCGAGCACCGTTTCTACGGTAACGGTCGTTCGACACCGTTAGTTCTCCTCTCTTTCGTTAACATAGCAGTGTTGATCGTCTTACTCCTTCCGTAATCAGCTCATAACCGGACCAGGTTCTCTGGAAACCAATAGCCTTAACAAACACCTTCATAGTGTGAAAAGTTACCAGCCTTAGTATGTTTTTTTCTAAACAAGGATCATTGAGTACAAATAAATTTTTTACGTAAAATTAAGTAAAACGGCAACAATGATGACGATTAATGACATTTCTTTAGTCACAGTACTTAACGAGAAGCCGAATTCCGATGATGATATTACCAACCGGCTGTTGTCTCATTCGGTGTGGCTTATGTCAACATCCTATTTCAGTGATCGGTCGGTGGAGAACCTTTGCTTCTTGAGCAGTCGTCGAGCTATCGAAGATATTGCAACCTTCATACAAGGAATGAAAGACGAATTCAATTTAGGCGTAGCCGCATGGATCACCTTTCGAGGATCGTACTCCGGTTTGCGACCACTGCTTGTCACTATTACCAAATAGACAGTAAGAGAAGAATGATTAGAAATAATGTGAAACGTTTGCAGTAAGTCTTGCAACGAAAACTAGTGTAGAAAAATATCATACATCTGTAAGAAAAAAAGCATTGACTAGTTGGGCTGTTCTCTTGCCCTAGTTTATTAATAGAGATATAACAAGCGCAAAGCATTCAGCACTGATCAATTGCTCCGCATTAGAACTCCCATGCAATCTCTTCCTGCACCGTAGAGGTGATTGACTGTATATTTAGCTTATAAAATAAACTAATGCGACCTTCTAATGTACCAATTTGGCCTCCCAAGCAAGATAGACGCAAACCTGTAAACGTCGGAGTGAAGGAGGGATTGATTTGCCGTGGCACAAAATCGAACCAGAGACTGCATGTCTGTTACAGGCACCAATAACCGCTACAATTCAAACGTTGCAGTCATTTGTCTCGTAGAGCGATAAGATATTTAAAACATTACTCGTCTCAAAATATTAAAAAAGGCACAGAATTCGAAAACGAATTAATACGGGATTACCATAATAGAAGCATGTGTGGCGCAGTGGTCGGAGGCGCCCCGCAACACACACATGGAACTGGTCCCGGCGCTCATGGCCTACCAAGCCTTCCATCCCTCCAGGATCGGAAAATTGGTACAAGACCTGTCTGAAAGGATAACATCACTGGCTCGATACATCGGCAGGCCACCGCGAGTCATTGTAAAGGCGAGATATGCATCCAATCACCTCCAGCGATACTTGATGAAGTCGAATGCATGGCGCATCCCTCAGGGATTGATGAACGCTAAGAGCTTTGCCTTTTTTATCTTTTTTACCATAATATACATCGTCTTTGTCAGTCGTCCCACTTCACTTTAGTTTTTTACAATGCTAAATTAAAACAAGAAGTAGTGTAGCCAATACTAGAAAGCATTTGAAAATAAAATTTCCTTGCTAGTGCGGTGTTGAAATAGTGCGAGAAGTTTGTTTAACACATAAAATCACAGGCGCTTTAACACTTTGGGCACGCGAAAAACATCCAGAGCTCATTGCTGGAGCCGTGGGCAGTTCGCCGCCGATACGACTCGAAGTGAACTTTTCGAGTGAGGATTCTATTATTCTTGACAGCGAGTTTTCTTCACAGTATAGCACAATATAATCCGTTCTGAACATCTGCAAGTAGTTGACAATTCACTGCACTTGTACAGTAATGAGTGCGTCGAGAACGTTCGTAAAGGATTTCAGTCAATGGCATCTCTTATGAATTGTGAGTCTGGTCGTAAGAAACTCTCAGATCTCTTCGTGTATGTCATGTTGCGTCTGATCCACTTATTTACAGCCTTAGTAATGGAGTGATTATTTCCAGATTAGATCCACCGTTTGCAAATCTTTCGTTAACCTACAATGACATTCAAAACTTTTACACTACAATCTACGGTAACTTTCAAGCAGCAGTTCAGAACAGCGGTTACAATGCCGTAAGTAAAAGCGTTGTCGAACAATGACTTACCCTCCAACGGTAGTTGTTCAACTCATCCATAGTGCTAAAATTCCTAGACATCAACTCTTGCCTGGAGAGCTATGAGGTTGCTTTGAAATTAACGAATGATTTGGCCGCAATTCTTTCCCGTATTATTCTACTAGACGTGCAGCCGAAGAAATATTAACGAGAGCAGAGTGCAAATAATGTTATCGTGACAAATCGACGTTCAAAATAAGAAACATCTTGGACGTCTGGCTCCTAGTGACGACGGTACTTTGCCATTTGGGATTCGACTCGATTCGACAACGAACATCCGCATAGTGTAGACGGCCATCTGTGGGCCATCGACTAGGATCTATTCGGCTCTGAAGAAGCGGAAGACATCAAGACCTTAGTCTAATAAAGTTTCCTCGTGCTTGTTTAATAAACCAGGAAACTTTTGATTATTTATGTCAGTGGTAAATAAAAGCAGTTTTTAGAGATGATTTGGATACCTTTGCGGAAGCAAATATAATACATATGACGGTCATGACTACCAAGGCCATGGGTAACTTGCATTCCAGAAGCGTCACTCTCAACAATGGACGCGGGAGTCACCAAATGAAAAGTGCCATAACGAAGTAAACAACATAATAGTAAATATAAAGTTTTGCCTAGCCGATTTTACTGTGAATTAAAAGTCCTACACGGGATCAGACCATCATGTACCTCGTGCAAGATTTCACTTCTCGAGGAAAGGAGTGTAAGCTGTTAAATTCAAAAACGAAATCCCGAAGCAACCATAAACTGGGGTTTATCTACGTTATTAGTGGGGACATGGGACCGTTTTCTACAACACCAACGAAGAATACGATCGGTTCATTCAACATCTTCAGTTTGCGCCATAAATGTCAAGAGTTCGGGAGTCACCAAGAGACGTCTTGCCTCTAGAAACATTCCAGGTGATACGCCAGTGTGGAATCGTACGAACTGCAGGCAACCGCTAACTCACTTCGGAACTTGGAAAACAATGCAAACAGGCGATAAAAGATCTTAAAAAGAGAAGAGCCGCAGTAATGGTCGAAGCTGCAGAGGCTGGGAAAACACTCGCAAAGCTAACCGAAGCTTCATCAATTACAAGACCAAGATGATTGCACTCCGACGCCCAGATGAAACAGTTACTGTATCCAGAAAGGCAATGGAGAAAATCATTCACCATTACTACTAGGATCTTTTCAACAGCCACATCCTCTTGCCTTCATATGAAAAAAGAATGGATTTTCTGGTTAATTTACTATTGAAATGCAAATCGAGTCACTGTGGCTTACTGAGCATTCCCGTTTCTCGAGCTTCCCCTATCCGTATAAAACAGTTAAATCGGTTGCCAATATTGGAACCGTTCACAATGATTTCGGGATTGATAAAATAAGTGAGGATGATAAACTCGACGTCTTTGTCTTCACCAGAGCCGACTTCACGTCCGTCTTTGTGCGACAACGACGAGCAACTGCGGACCATCGACTTGGATCATCGACTCTGATGTAGAGGAAAACGTCGAAACATTAGCCGGATAGAGCTAATCTATCAATCTCGTGTAAGCTCAACGATTTAAATGACGATTGGTTTGTGAAATATTCTTTTCATTTTTTCTTTCCTGAAGAAAGAGCATAGCTGTTCACCGGGTTTTCAGGTTTCACCTTCATTAGCCTCTTGATACACATGGTGATGACAGCAAAGGATATATTATTACGATGAAAAGTGATTTCTGTTGAAAATACAGTTTTTACGCTAGAAATAAGAAGCACATTTTTCCTGAATAAAATAAATCTTTTTCTTCTAATGATTCTGTCCGAAGTAGATGAACAGTTCTTAAGGAACGTTAACATTACACGACGATATGACGTCGATAGGAGTCTTTTTATTGGGGTACACAGTGGCCGATATGGCCTCCATAGAGCTATTTTTGCACTGCGGTTGTCCATTTTGGCGCGCAGAACAGGCTTCAACTCAAAAGACCGACTTTCTATAAACCTCGGCATAGATATTTGATATATTTGTTTGTATGATCTTACAAACTGATCTTCTGAAACTGGACTCAGTCCGACTCGTAACATCACAGCTCTGAGGAAGACGAAATCGCCGAGACGTCAGCCATCGAACAACAACACCAACAACAACGACAGCAACAACGGAGACCTATACCAACCTCGCATGAGCTAGAGAAGATCAGTTTATAAGATCATATAAATAAATATGTCTTCTTACACTTCTAGTAATCAATGCGTGGCTTGTTTCATCATAGACATTGTGGCGAACGTCGCCCGAAGAAAGCTCTACTTTGCACTTCGAAGTACACATGAAGTTCCAAGGAAAACGACTAGCTTCCTTTTTCATACGCAGCTCGTCCACTCCACCACTAACATTTCATCATCACGGCCTTTAGCATTAACTGAGGAATAAAAATTGTTATTAGTGCGTTTGTTGAGATTGTGAATCTGTATTTATCTAGAAAACTGACATCAGAAATTTAGTACTAAAGTGTTAGAAAGATGAACGTGTAAACATATTTGAGAACTGAGGTACTACAGGATTTTGCTTGACTGCGACCTGGGACGACGCATAATTTCACGTCGTTACGGGGCCACTGGATTTTCGGCAACAGACGACATTAGGCATTCTGATAGTAACGACTTCGTGTCCGCTCTTCAAGGAAACAATTTATGGATCAGTTCCGAGGTTAACGGAAAGTCGGTCCTGGGAAACATGACAGGATTATAGAAGAAACTTTGGTCTGTAGCTCAATGCGTATGAGTGGTATGTACCTTGCTATTTACTGCATGTTATTGTTGTTTCGTTTTCGGTCAGAAATGTTTCGCAGTTTTGTTTAATCTATTTCTTTATTTCTTTTAATCGCTTATTCCATACTTAGGTTATTCCCTATCAACTACGTTTACCTCGAATGCTTAGCAGACCTGTCTTCACATGTGGCTTGTGTCCTTGCACTCTCTGCCCGCTTAGATGTCTTACAGCTATCATCCACAGACGTGGTCGCATTAGTATGTGACTTCATATGCGACTTGATGATCCATGATCTTTTCTCCTCATTCATATGTTGTATTCTGGTCGAGTGTGGTTTTCATTGAAGTGAGGAAATTGCCGTGTTCGATCGCTCTCAGGCCTTCACCACAGGCAGCCGACAACGCATGTGGATCGGAATGAACACTGCTTCTTTCTGATTTCCTTTGTTTTAGAACGGTAGCGAAACCTTTGATCATCGAACGGGGAGCTCAAGAACGATAGAAGCCGAATCAATGAGAACATGGCATCTGTTTATAAGACTAGGCCGAATACTATTCCCACTCTCAATCCTCAAGTGTACATTTTTCAGTAGTATAAGGACTACAAGCAATTTCTACCGTACGCCGTTCATCATCCCACTGCGCTGGGATGGTGAAGTCTTTGAACTTTGGTAAAAGGATGCACCCCATCGACACAAAAGATATAATTCCTACCAAGCATTGGTTTTAATCGATCAACACTTCACCATATTGGAGAAATATTGGTAAGTACATGATACTCAGAAGCTTAATGATCAATTAAAGGGTCCAGGACTACATGCACATAATGGACAAATTGGACGAATTGAACAGAACACTAAAAGCATTATAGGTAACCAACAGAATGCCTTGGCGACGTCTTCTAAGCTCATCTCGACACCTGTACAGCATTAAACCAGAGTTTTCAGGTAAAGCTTTACTAATCGTTCTTATCTCACTACCTAGTAGATCATGTTTTTAAGGTAACACCTGAACGGAGCATCCGATTTAAAAAATACCTCCAGTCTTTATATTATTTATAACCTAAATGTGTCAACTGAGAAACGAGGTTACCGGGGTGTCTCGCCTACAACCAAAGAATACCAGTGATGAAAACCTAGGAAAAGTCCTGCAAATACATCTCGGATGTCTACGAAACCTTAACCAATAAAGTACCAATAAGGTGGAAAGCGTCTTCTGATCTGCACTACACATTAAGTCGGGTCTTCTAGTCGACCTTTGAAGAACAAATTTTTAAATGAAAATAAACTTCAGCATTGAGTTAACCACAACACACTACTCTTTCCCATGGATTCAGATGCTCTTCGGAATTAATTTCCCTGCACGTTCTAGAAAAAGGTGTAGATAGATATAGCCATAGATAAAACCCCGTCCAGCCCAGGCTGAGCTGAAGGCTACGCATTGCATCTGTGCTGCAATCACTATTTTCAGATCGAACTTTCCATAGTTCAGCAGTGACCAAACTACCAAGAAAATCCCTTTGTGTGAAACAGCAGACTTTTCCACTACTCAAGCAAGTCGATGCAGGTACACCTTTCTAGATGCTCACGTAGACGGATCTACAAGTGAGAGTAGGGCGTCATGGTACATCTTCACCTGATTTTTCAGTGCCTGGAGTGTTTTATCACTCAACCTTGTTTTTTTTCTCATACGAGTTCTAACTAGGTACGTCAACTTTCCTACAAAGCAAACGACTAATAAAATTGTTTATTTCATAAGTATGTAAATACTCTATGTCATACACATATATATCTTGTAAAGAAAATCAAGTAACACCATCGTTCATATCCGTATCGCAATTGGAACTGCAGTCAAGCATAATAAATGCAAGAAAAGATATAGTCGACAAATCAGGTCTATTGGATGCTCGATCGCAGTAACCAAGACAAAACCGTTAGCAACAGAACGTCATTACGCGTCTGGTCTTGGTGATTATGAGTAAACAGCAATAGAATTTCAAACACGAGATGCAGGCACTATATGTCTAAAAGCAACAAAGCTGCTCTCGAACCGAATTCGTGAATAAGGAACGGTGTACATGAATAGAAGAAAATCGAGATAAGATGGCACCAAATGACACCTCCAGGAGAGGACAGTATCAAGTGATAGCGCTACCTGTTGATGATATACATTCATAAAGGTGTGGCCAGACAAGCCAGAGTTAGTCAATGAAAGCGTTCGCTAACACCGAATAACCCAACCTGGCCACCAACCTGTAATACACAAGTATTAAAGGGTACTCTGTACAACAAGAATAAGGTGAATCTCAATTTGGTTTTGCGACTACGATATAGCGTCTGGAGGTTTCTAGTTAGATGAGAATGCAGTTTTGATGAGTTGAGGTGTTAAATGAAAATCGAAAAGAAGTATAGGGGATAAAGAGATATGGGAAATCGTTCGCGTTGTTAACACTAAGTAGGAAGAGAGGAGAATTTACCACTATTAAATCCACCCTCATAGAAATCAGAAAATTTGCAGACTACATTGATTTGTTAGAAGTAATTCTTTCCGTAACAAACGCTTCTGCGAAAGGATACAACAGGGGAAGAAAGGAGGAAATTATGACCGAAAAGCTTATGAAGACATCAAATGCACGATGAATCTGCAAAAATGACCTGAAGATGAAATAAAAGATAGAACAGAATGAAAAAGAAGTTTGCTAGTACTAGATTTTTTTATGAAGATAACTCACACTTAGTTAAACCGAACCGGCTGTTTTCAGTAAAATCGATGTTATATGTGTACATGGACGTATTAGAGGAGTCGATATCAATAAAGAATGTGAAAATGGTGTTAAATTAGCGATGCCAAAACAGAAATTCTTCGAAGCTCTAGGAAAATTCCTGTTTGTGAGAGTTACAAAGAAATGACAACCACAAAATGAATGAGGAGGGTAACCGGGATTATAAACCTGAATTCTGGAATCATTAGAAATTCCTTATCACATAATTTAACGTCACACAATTAGGCGCAATCCAAGACGACCGGAGCTTAGGGCCAACGTTACTTGCGAGAACATCTTTCTGTCTTTTGCTCTTCTTTTTGTGAGTTTGACTCTCTTTTGCTTGGACCGCTCAACTTTTCGATAATGGTAGCGAGATTTCGAATCATCTAAAAGAGTTCAGGCCTACTCACATATTCATATTTTATTAAAGTCGATGAGAACCACTAGCTTACAGCAACAATGGACAATAAAACATAAAAAATCTTTAAAAAGACGTACAAAGCGCCCAGCATTTACAGCATGGGATGAATCTTTGTCCACCTTATGTGACGGCTTCGGAGGCGTACTGCTCAGGTCAACAACAAAAGGCTGAAAAAAGAATTGTATACACATGGGTGAAGCTGATGGAAAATCCGACAGCACAGCAAGTTCAAAAACAGTCCACGTACAGTGAAATCTCTTTTGATGGCTATCGGCTTCTCAAATTTTCGAAACACATACGGCTGCGTGTTGATCGGATACCTATTTTTTATCGGAATCTTCTCAAAGCTACGCTGGTTACGGTCGATTTGATATTCACAGAGATAGATGTCTGCTTCCTAAAAAGACCCAGTTTTCTAAAACTGAAACATAGTAGGGTACTTAAGCGATCTAAGAACGCGTAGCATTTGACAAGGGAAATAGGAGAGTAAACAACACCTTAAATTCTGGCACTGTTGGCCTGCCAATACACCATGTTGAAGGATCTAAAACGGTACACCGACCAACAACTGCATCAAGAGGAAGTGTGTCGTACAACGGTGTGGCAAAGACCTAGAGGCACATGAAGTATTTTTAACTGAAGTCTGAATTATAGTTCTTTAGTGAAAAACAACCCGAGATTAAATAGACCTGAAACAGGAATCTTGAATGGCAGAGCAAAAACGCATACAGAAATATCGACGAAAATGCACACCTCATTCCGATGAAAAATCCTTTGCGAGTCGCAAAACGTTTCGTGAGGTCGGGCGTAATAGAAACCAAACACGAAGCGATGACCTCTTGGTGCAGCGAAAAGCCGCTCGACACGAAATACTCTCAGATCCTGCCATAAACATTAGTAGCAAACAGCTTAATAGAACTAAAACTGAAGTAAATCAACCAGAAATACCTTCCGATCGAAAGTCTCTGGTAGCAACTTTTCACAGTTTGCAAGCGGGATGTCGTCACCGCGTTCATCTTTACCATTCTTCTTAGTATTTTCACTCATATCCATCAGTTTTTTAAGTACTTTCTTGTGCTAGAACAAACATCACTCATTTCCCTCCCGCTAAAGAACCTTCTCTAAACGACGCAGTAAAGTGAAGATCTTACATCGTCTCCAGTAGCTCTCTGGACGTGGACAGTCTCGTTGAGTCGTACTTGTATAGAGCGATTATTAACAAGAGCCTAAAAATTAATAATTATAAGAACTTGACACATGTTAGCGGTCCAATGTGACGATAACCATAGAAAGTTTCACCACAGATTTGTATTACAACGGTACCTTATAGTATGTGCACCCACTCAGTCGTATACTTGGCTGCTTTGCAAGAATAACGTCGCCAAATGGACGTCCACCAGATATGGTGCCAAGGCAGAAATGGCACTTATACTCCTAAAGTGCATAAAAAGTGCACCTGGTCTGACAATTACAAAACTCCCTTACTACAGAACTACAATCGTAAAGACATACCGTATCTTGATCGACATCACTTAAACACTCGCTATGCAGCCAAAAGTTACATGTATCACATTGGGTCATTTCTCCATCCTCTTCCAATGAACCACAAACACAACGCACCTAATGAGCACATCACTAGTAATCAGAAAGAAAACAGCTTATAACGGTATAAACTCGGTGCTTAACATTGAATTTCTCAATTTCATCTTTAACTAGCTTAGAAATAAGAATGTAGACCAAATTACCTGTGGTCAAATCACTTGCATACTTGGATGGTCCTCTTCACTGGTTATGCAGGCCCCAGCATAATCTCCATTATTTCGGAGCTTTGTTAGTTTATTCTTTGTGGTTCCCTGGAGTCCCAACGTCAGCTCAGCCAAAGTCTGCTACAGGTCGTCACCACTACAGGCATTCGCCGCCCTTGCGGATCAGAGGCAGATTTACCACTACCCGACTAATTTTATACCAGGACGGAAGACTGGTATTGGTTTACTCTCAGCTCGGCTTCCTGAAGTAAACGCCAGACTCCTTCTCAGCTTGGGAGGGACGAATCCCCCGCTGTACATCGCAGCCCGACACCCAAGAACACCTCCCACCCACGAGTTAGCAACTCATCAGGAGCAGCTGTGATCATAATAATGGTAGGAAATAGCCACCGAAGTACCATCTTGTTCCATAAGACTACCATTACTCAACGAATTTTCAGTCTAATAGAAATAGTAATATCAACGTTGTATCAAATACAATACCGCATCATCCTTCTCATTCGCTTTTCCTAGTGGCCACGCATCGTCTGGATCATACCCGCCGACCTGAACGTAATGTTTTAAATGGGTTTAGAAAACTCGTTTATGAATTTTTTCTCCTTAAAACTTAGCAGTAAAAATAAATAGATGTCATGATCACGCACCAGCAATCACATCAAGATAAAAACCCTCACCCGAAAATTTGACTCTATGTACTCGAGATTTGTATCCTGATTCACAAATCTGTTCTCTTTCCTTCGATCTCTTTTCGGCTTTTCATCTTTTTCAGATCTTCCAAGGTCAGAAATATATCGCCCACGTAGTGCCCTAAATATCAGAATATACACAAACAAGGAATGTACAAACAAAATAAATAGTTTAACAGACATGTAAGCTCGTTCAATATCATCATCCGCCAACTCGTCCAACCAGTGGCCGATTTCTGCATCAAAGTTCGCGGCAATTTCTGCTTTGCTCATACGTGAATGATTTCGCCGAGCACTGCACAGAATCCGACAAACACGGTGATAGCCTTGTATTGCCTTCAACGGAAGACGGCCATCGGTTCGACGGACTCTGTATAATAAAAGTACTTAAACACAAGATAGTATCATAACATTCGTAGAAATCTCTCACATGATAGGATATTCTCAGTTACTCAATGACGTGTTCAAGAAGGAAATGTAGAAGTGCCTTACCTGTATGCGATTCCTTTCAGCACCTTCCTCATACCATCAATCTGTGAGTTTGCTGTTTGCTCAAATGAACCATTCAAACCTGTCATATACCAACATTTATATATGGAATCAATAGCGATTTGAAGGAAAAAAAACGGAAACTAGAAAGGACTAACCACGTGAAGCAGCGTGTGCTATACTACGTTGTCTGTTGCGTATAAGGAATACACGGTCCTTGCGAACTGCACGTTCTTCGTTGATTGACAAGTCGCTAGCTGATGCGATAGGCTGAATAATGTACTCTCAAGACGATTAGTTCTTTTGAAGAATATCTATGGAACAAAACAATAAGATAGTAAAAAAGCCAAGAACAATCGCCCTATCTAACTGCAAACCGACTTTCATTTAACCTCGTTATAAATGATTAATTAACTTTGTTTCATTGAAAAGCTAACACGAGGTTGTTACCAATATTTATTGGGCCAACGTTCCAACGTCTTCGTCTTCCTCAGAGCTGATGGTCCGACTAGTCGTCATCGTATCGACTCGGATCATCGGCTCTGAGGAAGATGAAGACGTGGGAATGTTACCCGAACAAATACTAGTAAATTGCCTTAATATCAAGATATTAGATTAGCGCAAAAAGACGGATTCCATCATATTGAAATTTACAAATACGTTTCCAAAGAAACATTAGTGCCCACAATGATGATGCTGCTTCAACGATTATTTCTTGCTTAACAATTTTCCGTATAAAACTTTTTTTTAAACATGGCTTACAGTGCCAACTTTTACTTACAGCCTATTCGTCTTTGTTGAACCGAGCAAAACTCGGAACCCCAGTTGGCCTCCCAACCAGTGCTTAGCCTCATCGGTGGCTCACGTGCTATTTATTGTTTTTTACTTTATCGGTGCTATCAGCAACCAACCGTCAACTACAAGTGCAACTTAGCTGGGAAAAAGGCAAATCAAGGGCCTCGTTTGGTGTGGTGCAGAGCAAATGAGCCTCCGGTTAGAATAATCGAGAGTTCAAAGCCCAACTGAGGTTACGAGTTTAGCTCAGATTTCAGCATTACTGGTATTATACTTTAATATTTCGGCAATATTAAATGTGCTCTCGAAACAATAACAGCATCGTTTCGATTCCTTTGTTCAAGCTAGGACATCCAGCTCTGAGCAACTCTAAACGACACCGATGCGTAAGGAAAGAAAAGCCTTCTTAATGCACAATGCACAGAAAGTTAGCGAGATTTAGTACCAAACATGAGACTTGTTTCAGATAATATTTATACATGATTTGTTATCATATATACTGTGCGGATCCCAGAACTTATAGCATCCGATTCCTTTTCTCCGCATTTATCGTTCACAAAGGTTTTCCTACAGTTCACGTACTTTTTCGGCTGCTCTTTGAGAAATTCACGTTCTTTACGAATGTCGCAGAATGCCTATCGAGTCGATTCTCCTTGCAATCCTGGAGAGAGAGCTGAGCTAACTCGTCCCCACTGTATTGGAGGGGAATACTGAGGAAGTCGAACTAAAACCTTGTTTTCTGGTGGACTGCGCCACTAACCATTGCGCTACCGCTCATCCCATATGAGTATTACTGACAAAGAAAGTCGTGGGCACCTACTAGCAATTGACGAGGGCCACCTGAAGCCAATAAAAACAACTCTCACCTTAGAAATCATTCATTGGGTTTCAAAAAAAAACGAGGATACAGGACTCACAAATTAACAACTGATTGTCATCTTATCTGGAAGACTTGAAAATTCCTTGTAGATTCATGCACTATTTAACATTCAACTCAATAAGGATCATCGAAATCGTTATCAAGTCTTTTCTGTGGTTTCTTTACACAACAAAACCGACCCACTTCTCGATTTCGTTGCAACGAAAAGTTAGTTTTATACAGTAAACAGCTATGCTCAAATGAGTGCGTAAACTGAGACGAAGCTCTTCATTATTTTCAAAAGCCTAATTTGCCCCAAATGATGACTGTGATGGCTTTTCCGATATCAGCAGAGGAAATCACGTAACGCAAAACAACTATGGTCTTGCTAAAACCATCACAACAGAGATATAATCTCACGAATTCGACGGAACACTACAAAAACATAGCATCTGGATCCGTATATGACCAAAAGATAAGATCTAATCCTTCCACACGAGTACGCTCGACCAAAAGTTGCACAACAAAATCAGTAGTAAACGAAGTTTGAAACAAAGCTTCCAAAGTTGAAAGAAATCGGCTACGAAACTCTAACATCCATCACACTCAGAGCACCTCCCGCTAAACAACTACGGACCATGTCCATTCATGCCAATTGTGACTCCCATACGTAACATTACGGCTTTGAGGAAGGCGAAGTCGCCGAAACGTCAGTCATCGACCAACAACATCAAAAACAATGACAACGACAACGACAACGAAGACCTGTACCAACTTCGCGTCAGTTTAAGATCAGTTTATAAGATCATATCAATAAATATAACCTACAAAAATCTACATCATCAAAATCACCATTAACCCACAACGGATGCGCGCTATTTACCGTTGCTCTCAGAACGGAATACGAAAAATTCCTCGTCGGCTGCGTACTTCCCAGTTTTTTGACAAAACAAAATTTTTTCGGCAACTAGTGTGCTTTTGTGGGTGAGGTCACGGTAGAGTTTTAGAACAGGCTTTGCTCTATAGTTCCATGAGTATAACCGATATGCATACTATTACTTACTGTATATTAATATGATCCATTATGCACACAGATTGCTGTCAGCACTTGGAAGGACTACGCACCCTATGTTAAGTTCAATTTGTTTTTTGTACACGCTCATTCCATAAAATGACCATAGTGATTAAAATGAAATAACATTTAAGGTTAGTTAGCTAACGAAAGTTAAATTACCAGAAAACCAACTTTTCCAGAAAAGGTATTCCGTAAATCATTCGTTGTACAAAATGGTTTCTTTAGACATACTCTTACCATTTGAGTATGTTTGCGATGAGTTATCGAATGAATACAAACAGTGCGGAAAAAAATTCCGCAACGCACTAAACTAGAACACTATAGAGTCTAAACCGAGCGTTAAAAAAACTCTCGGCTTTGATCAATCCCAGAGGGATACGCTATGCAGTCGACTTCATCAAGTATCACTAAAGGTGACTGAATGCATATTTGGTCCACACAATGACTCGCGGTGGCCTACGGATGTGTCGAGTCGGTGCTGCTATTCTCCCCCAAACAAGTTCGGTAGCAATTTGCCGGTCCCGGAATAATGGAAGGCTTGGTGAGCCTTGGGAGCTGGGAGTGATCTCATGTGTGTCGCAGGGGCGCTTCCAACCACTGAGCTACACGCGTCACCTAAGAGGTTTCATGGGTTTAAAATGCTTTTGCAGCACTAACTTCTTCCAGAATTTCAGAATTTTAAGCCATCGGAATAAATGGACTTGTAGCTTGGCAGTAAAAATATGCAGAATCAAGCGGCTCTCATTAATAATGTGTTTGAACCTAGTTTTAAAGACCTAGAATTCATAGCCCGAAATCACAAATTCTTTTGCACCATGCTAATAGAAAAAAACCAACCGCATTTCGCGCCATCACAATACGCTTTCGACAATCGCTGGTACCGCAGTTGCAATTTTTACTAACAGGAAGAAGTCCATTCATGTCAATTGTGACTTCCGCTCCTGACGCTATCTCGCCTAACGAGAATAAACCAGCGCGATAATTCCCGTTCACCGACCTAAATGAAGCATCTGGATGGACGTCTCTCGCAAAGCTTCATTTAGTTCACCTTAGAAATTCAGTGAGGAATACCCTCAAACTTCGGAACCATGAGACGAAAACACAAGAAAAGCAAAAAGAGACCTATATATGACATTAACATACAGTAACATTTAGACTAAACTAAACCTACCACACTTCAAGCCTCGCATTAGGTTTGCACGACTGACGAACAAAACGGGAAACATTTCCACGAACAGTGGCATCAATGAAAAGACGAGACGTTAGACAGAGAATAATAGGTGACGTTTCAGTTTTCGAATAGGCTTCCCAGCGTTGCTTTGCATCCTCGAACGATAATACGTCACCAGCAAACTCACACTATAACGTATTCTTGCAAATACTTATGGTGAAAAAAAAGGAAATCCCTTCCTCGATAAACGACCCACCAAAAATTCCCCAGCTCGTCTCATTTGCCTTGTCCGCAGGATTTTACGCGTCTTCGATCCACTTATGGTTAATGTCTTCGTTACGTCATCTTTCCAAAATCTCTATAAACAGAAACAACTCGGAAGGCAAAGAAGAAAGGAAAGGTATGAAATCGCCAACCTTATTCAAACATAGCGGTGCTGTACAATTTGCCGGGCATTGTACACGCAGAGCACGATTCACGCACTCTGAATCCGAAGTGCACGCACCGCGAGTGCAGCCGCATGACAACACTGGCGACTCCCATTCAGGAAGTGAACCAAGGGCAACACCTTGAATATGACGCCTTACTTATTCAAAGAATCAGAGGAACAGTAGAAAAATCTATGACGCTTACTCTGGGAAATCTCCTCGTACTCTTTTTCCCTTTTGCCATGGCTCGATGTTTCATTGCATGTTGCTCTTTTCGCCGAAGCTGAAGAAGTCGATCGACTGAAAAACAACACTAACATACATCTCACGCACTAAGTAAACGCTCTAAAAGTTCTCGGAGTTGATCAATCCCTGATGGATGCGCCATGCATTCGACGTCATTAAGCATCGTTCAAAGGTGATTGAATGCATATCTGGCCTTTACAATGACTCGAGGTAACCTACCGATGTAGTGAACCAGTGCTTCTATCCTCCAAGACAAGTCTGGTAACAATTTGGTGACCCCGGAGAGCACGGTGGGACTGGAGCGCGTGGACCGTTCTCATGTGTATTGCAGGCCACCCCCGACCACTGCGCTATACGCGCCTCATGGGAAATGTTCAATTATACGATAGAATGGCTCACCAATAAATACTTACATTCTCGTCTCCTTTTCTTTTCCTACACTGTGATTGCGCCGTTTACGAGAGCGTTCCTCATGCTTATTCTTTATTCGAGAAGACTCATTGTTGTCACATTTTTCTTGTGGATCCTGCTTAGATGATTCTTTGACCAGTTTCTTCGAAACTGTCTCCTTTTTCCGTCCAATTCGATCAGCAACCCGCTTCCTTTCATCATCTCTTTTCTTCTTCTTCCTCACTTGCTCCCAATTTACAGCAAATATATTTCTACGCTCTTTGCTAATTCGTCGATCGTGTTTCTCCCAAAGGCCGATGTGCATATTTTGCAAGCTGACCGCAGTTGACTCCAGAAGGGATGCAAGCTGAAATTAAAATGTTATAAACTAATCGATGCGGCATCGAAGAACTTATATTTCAACCAAAAGTTGTTCTAACCTGCTCTTTAAGCATCCTCTTTATCGCCTCTCGATACCGTTTTCTTATTTCGATCTGGTCCTCCGTTATTTCGGACGGAACTTTGTGCTCTTCCGATGGCTGTGATACCAAGTAAGTCTGATCAGTACCAACAGAAGAAATGTCTTGCGATTCCTTATCCTTCGCAGTGTCTTCACACGTTGGTGATACTCGCAATTTCGTCAAAGTTCCGTTAGATGCTCGACGATGTGAAGCCCGAGATGTGCCGCGAGTAGACAATCTAGACATCGGTGTTGGGTCTTCATCGCTTATCTTAGGATCCTCGCCTGCAGCACTAGTAGGACGACCTCGTTTCGAAACATTTTCCTTAAAATTACTATGAGAAACAATAGTACGATATTTGAATTCTCAACACTTCTAAGAAAAATGTTTAATCTAAAAACTTCCAAAGCAACTAATAATATAAAGGAAAAGACATTTTACCTGCTTGCTACCACTCCTTTTCCTGTTATTCGATTGTCGCCGCTTTATGAGATTCGCTATGGCGTTAGCCTTCTCAGGGTCCAGCATGATAAGCTGCTCAACGATATCTTTAGAATCCATACTAGGAGTGATTGATATTGATGGTGTAGGTGCAGTCTCACATTCTGAACCATGTGCAGAAGTCGCATCCTCACGTAAGGACACACATCTGCAATCAAATGAAAAGTCGACTCTAGACACTTGACCCAAAGTCATAACAAACGCTATGACAAAATTTTAACGCCAGTGTGATGTGGTCAACGAAAATGAGTCTAAAGAATTTGGCCCTTTTCTATACTTACAACAAGCTCGTCTATTTTCCATAGAACAAATAAATTGTGCGGTAAACCGAAATGTGGAACACACTTCTAGGAAACAGGCTAAACACGACACTAGGATCCAACCCGTTTCTCGTATTTCCCACCGAAAGGATTTTCCAATGAACGTAATCTTTGGAAATAGCACAATACATAACATAGACGTTAACAAGCTTTAGAATTTCTTAAGTACCCTGTACTGCATTGCGTCTCTTCTTGATCCGCTGGAAGCAGACGAGGCATGTCGGCGAAATCCTCATCATGCTCGTATCTTTCTTCACAAACTGAATCGCAACCTTCCAAGTGAATCTGAAAACTAACTATGCAGTTCATCATTAGATCAAGTGTAACCATGCTCATTTACTACAATCTATGTTAATTTACAAATCTGTCAAAGTATCTCCGAAATGCGTAGAATTTTAAGTGAATGGGAATAACCTTGCAAATATATCCACGCGGCACGGTGGTCCCGAAGATGGGATAAATTATTGGAGGTGCCGATAAAAACTAGCATACAGCACTTGGTGAACCACCAATAAGTATGGTATGTCAACAAGCGAAAACAAAATTTCGAAGTCTCCATAACTACCTGAACTACTAATCCTTTAACTTCACGAACTCTTAGTGCGAAGACTGTGAGATACTAGTGAAACGAGAGCCTTAAAATCTGTATTCACTGCATTTTTTACAATTCAAGGGTCATTTCTAAAATGAACTCGTTCTTCACAAAGTTGAGTACAACACGAAATCTGGAAGAATTCGCTTAATGACATGTATCATCGTGTCATCTATGACACTGTTTATAAGTAACCGGAATTTGTCTCTCTATTCCCTACTTCTCTGCGACGGAATGGACCATATAGGCCCTTCTATAAACAAAAGCCATAGCACTTCACCTAAGAAGCCAACTATTTTTACCCTTTCTGACGAAGCTTCCCCAACAACTCTCGAGGGAGTTCCGTAGAGGTAAATAATTTCTCGAATTGCTTATCGGGATTTTTACGTGAAACACATTAGTTGCCGGCGACAAAAACCGCCTTTAATACACTTTTCAGCCAGTTGACCAACTCTAACAAAAAAGTACTGGAGAAGTGGAACCCAAACGAACGTCCTTTTGTCAAATTAATAAGTTTTGCGCTAAAACCTTGTATTAAAACACTCCCTATAAAAGAAACGCGGAAAATCTTCGAGAAAAAAAAAGATGAAAGAAAACACACCGGCATCTAAAAAAACAGGTGAAAAGTACAAGAATCATAATAGTTTAACATACCGTAGGTGGAGTCAGCGGATGACTGCTTGGCGGTGACCCTGGAACCGACTGGATTCCAGAATCTGGTGTCGTTGACGAATCACTGACTGGAGCTGCCCACTGACCAGAAGCGGTGACACGAGTAGAACGGGAATCGTTCTGGTAGAGGCATAAAGATGAAAACGACAGCACAACCAATAGTAAAGGTATAAGACGAACATTGTGAAATTTCACGTACGTTGACAAAAAAGTTGGTCATATGACTATTTCTCAAAGCTTCGAAATAAGTTCTCCGTTCACACTAATTTTTAAGTTTAACTTAAATCCATCTTTAGGAACAAGACACGACGACCACGGTTAAGAAGGGATACGAACTGAACACAGTTACTTCCACTCACGACTTTGGTATTTCTACCTCAAACACAAATAAAGAACCGAATTCGTAACGTAGACAAAACGCGATAGATGCATATAAAATGCATGAAGAAAGAAAGAAAGAAAGAAAGAAAGAAAGAAAGAAAGAAAGGGAAGCTAAGATACTACCTGCGACTCGATTTTCATGGATGGAGTAGGATGGTTTTGATAATGCATGATGTTCGGCAACGGGGACATCGGCGACGAATCAAGCTGTGGTGACGCAGAGGAAACTGACAAACTCCGAGGCTGAAAAGCTTGCATCTAGATGTGGATTGATAAGAGACTGCTGGATCACTGGATTTTTAGGTTCTCGTGAGATCTTTTCGATTATATTTCAAATATAAGTTTGTAAAACAAGTATTACGATATTCATTATGTTGGCACACAAAGAGAAAAGGATTACTACCCGCAGAGTAATTCAGGACTATAGGCAGTTTCTCCAATAACACCATAATTAAACAATATCAAAAACAAAAGAAAATGTGATGGTTTCAAAAGTTCAGCTACAACAGCCGTAGTTTAGCCTTCTTCAAAAGCTCCTTTTAATTGAAAACATAGAAGTGTACCTGCGAATTACATGGACTGGACAGTGCATTGTGTACCGGTGGAGCATAGGCAGCTTTGAAAGAAGCCTGAGGCCATGTTGATGTCACTGGGAAGGTAGACGTAGCCAAAGGTGTTGGAGAGATGGCCACAGAAGCATCACCACCCTGCTGAAGTCGAACTTGGACCTTAGCTGGAACAAGGACCTAGAAAACAAGAATTATGAGAACTGTCCTCTGCGTAACGTTGGTAATTAAACCTGAAACAGCTGGTAGATGTAAGACTTTAACTAACTCTTTAATGCACTGAAAAGAATAGAGAAACAATACCGAAACATCTTTGTTACGTGGTCATACTACTGCTACCATGTCAATTTAACACTGGCTCTAATCCATGTCATGTCATTCTTAATACCTCAGGAATCTCTTTTCCACGATGCGGAGAAGTAGCACAAAAACACTTTGCAAAAACACTACAAAAATTCAAGGATACAAAGTTATGGTAAAATCGAACTAAATTTGATCCTGTTTTTGTTAACAAAATCTGACGCTCCAATATATGTGCCCTGTTAAATCATGGGAATTTAAAAGAATGTAAAAAAGCATTGAGTAGAAGATAATCATATTTTCTTGGATATATGGATGGTTCGTTTTCACTGATTGTGCCAGCCTCAACATAATTTTCACTTTTTCGCAGTTTTGTTGGCTTAGCTACCGTGGCTCCCTGAAGTCCCGGGGTCACCCTGGCCAAAATCTGCCCGTCGTCACCACCACAGGTAGTCACCGCCATTGTCGATCAGAGAGATATTTGCCACCACGTGACTAGTTTGGTACTAGGGCAGTGGTGAATTCTGGTATTGGTTTACTCTTAGCTAGGCTTCCTGATGGAAACGCCGGACTCCTTCTCAGCTTGGGAGATCCTGCCCGGTGAATGAGTCTCCCCTCTGTACATCGCAGCCAGACGCACAGGTACATCTCTCGGCCAATGTGAGGCGGTAAACCGTTTGGACGGATAATAATCTACTATCATTAAAGTAGTGTCAAAGACAGGTCTGATTTTTTAACCAAGAATCATTAACAAACACAAGTGTAATCATTTCAAATTGCCCTGCTGGCGATCTCCTTGTCTCAAAGCAAAGAAATAACAGTAAGAGAGAAAACACACACCTTTGGATTTTCGCCTTGTACCACAATCGGTGCTCCTTGTGGATATACTCCTTGGACAAGAAGAGGCTGTGGTACTTTTCCAGTAGCTGCTGTCGGTGTTAAGGCAGTTACAGGTTGACCATTGCTTGTCCTACCGACAATCGATGCTGATGGTGTGCCCTAATAAAGTAAAATTAGTAGATCCAGAACGAAAGCCCACATCTTTGATCAAGCTGTACCCAGTCTAATAGAAGAGTTTTACTAGGCATTAGCCGATCTCGACTACGTTTATCCTGTTACAGTTGGGAATCAAAACAGATGACATTACTACTGGCCATACTAAGCAGCACTTCTGCTAAGTGAACAGAACTTATCAAACAAGATCCATAAAATAGAACGATAAAGGATAAGAACTTAAGACAAAAAAAACTTACAGTGACAGAATTTTGCTGATTGGCTGATGGACGAATTAAAAGCCCAAGATATTGGGTTTCTCCGTTGCCATTTTGCGCAGAACTTCGGAACATACATGGTACGGCCTCGTAACTCATTTGTCATATAAACTCATGTCGAAATTGTTCTGTAACGAGAAAAGAAAAGCGTAGAAAATGAAAATCGAAGACTGTACGAACATCCTAAGCACGGTTAGACGAAATGCCAGAGGGATACGAGGTCATTTCACGGAAAAGAAAACTTTAAAGGCTGTTATGGTCCCTAAAACAACTTCATGAGAACTCTTTAAATTACTTTACTTAACTGGTAATACTCACTAAATACAAAATATCGCAAAATCTTACCGAATCGATTACAAATTGGACGAGAAAAATGAAGGGAACGAACTTGAGAGAACAGATCAAAAACTTGAGGAAGTGAATAAAGGTTTATTTGGCACTTCAAAAATCGAGTAGACTAGAACCACCGACAAAGGAAAAGTGAACAATATGAGGGCTAAAGGCTTTAATAATGAAAACACAGCGTTAAGAGCTGTTCCAAACAGGGATTTGAAGGGAAGAAACTTCATACCGGTTAAATTAATACTAAATCAACGACTGCAGGCGGGACGGGCTGACGAAACAAGAGAAAATTATTCAGCAGAACGTAGCGTCAATAAAGTGGCTATTAAAAAGCATACGACGTAGACGAAATGTCCTCCTCTTGTGGAAGCGGCTATGAGCAAAACCTTCACATCAAAGCAACAATCCAAAGTGCAGCGACATTCATATCAGTTACTGATATCCGGATAACAAGTAATCCCACCACCTGTAAGTATATCACCCGAGTGACATCGGTCAGTCACCTGAAAGACAGTTATTGTTTTCCTGGGAAGGTCTGTGGGGTAGATTCTTCTGGGCGGCTGCGACGGCTTGGTTGACGGCCGACGAGAGAGTGTTGACGATCGGACATATGTCGCGCGATGGATGACGTTCTCTGCGGCGATAGAGCATGCCGCGCGCGGACAGCGCAGAGAGCGCAGAACAGCGATGGGTATATAATAACGATTAGCGGCACTCGTGCGGCGGCGAATCGCTCGCGGCCGCGGCGCGGTCGCGCTGCGGCCGCAGACAGGTTGCCACCGGACGGACGGCGCGGACGTGTACGCCTGGTTGCGTACGTTTGTCCGTTTCTGTCTGCCTGTCCATCACTACGTCCGCGTGAGCACGTACAGCGGTGCGGTCCGTCCATCTGCACGCCCGTGCTTCCGTCTCCGTTCGTTCGTATGTCCGCCCGTTCTTCTGTACGTTCGTCCGTATATCTCTCCGTCCGTCCTTCCAGACCCTCGTAAGTATGTTCACCCGTCCTTCCGTCCGTTCGCCCGTATGTCTGTTCGTCCGTCCGTCCTTCTACCCACACACGAACACAAACAATACCCAATCATACACGCACATCAACAAAACAAGATGCGCAGTCGGCGGTAAGTGCAAAGATCCCCGATCAGACCGCTGTGAAGAGTGCAGCTGTTACCACTAATCGGGGGGGACCGACAAGATTTAAATGACATCGGTGTCTTTTACGGAATAGATTTACTCTCGGACGGGAAACGCTTAATTTTTTGCCAGATCGTGTCTTACCTCAACGTGAAAATTACTCCTTAATGATACGCAGCTGCTTCGAGTTACCTTACCATGTTTGGACTAATCTAGATTGTCTCTGGCTTCTTCATATTTTCCCTTACTAGTAAGATTTCCAGCGTTGTATAGGCAATGTTTCGAGATTGCGATGACTAGAGGAAATTCTAATCACTCTTTACTTTAGAACATATGCCGCGCTAAATTACGTTGATCGCTTATGTTAACGGAATAGAATGAGTTATTCACAAACAGCGAACTTGAGGAAAGTACTTCAAAGCTGAACCCAAAACTAAATGGAGGTTCCCCTTTGGGTAAAATATCTTAAACATTAAGGTGGTCTGCTCTCACACGATATCCTGTCGACTACGCTTCCTCTTGTAACCGAAGGTCACAGTTGTCGACTTCATGTATGGGTTTTATTGCAGTATGTAATTCGTAGTCTTCTCATTAACATGTGGAATGTAGGGATTTCGTTGGAATCTCGAGACAACACTGCTAGGGCGATTCTTCTTGAACTTCATAACAAGCAATAGTCACCCTTTCTAGATGGTGGTTTACACCCTTACCGCTTGTGCTCTTTCAGGACGACTCTAACTCTTCTGACCATTGTTCCTTGATCAGTTGATTATCGATGTAATAGGTCTAATCATAATAACTGGAGCAAAAAATGTTGTGCTAAGCATAACAGAACCTGATAGACCAAAAACCCTACTATTGAAGATGCCAGCTATAGCTAAGAAATCTATTTTAGCCAAAAGCGCCATATAGTGGAAAATTCGCGAACATGGCATCGGACGAGTTTGCATGCTGCCTAAACCGTGAAGCTAAACACTGTTCCGTCTGAACGTTTTCTCTTTGTTTGAGCCTTAGTAATGGTCAACATAAGATGTATTATGTCACAAGGATAGGAATGCCCAAATTCTTTTAAACACTCTAACATTGGCGTAAGAAGCATATCCGCAGTGATACTAAGTGGTTCTCGACACTTCTGTAGAGCACTCAACAAGTGCCTTACCGTTAGTAAAAAGAAAAGGGAACGGTAAATTTAGCAACGACGAACATTCTCGTCACCATCACCATATTGTTTAATCTATGGGTGGTTCAACTTCCATCTGGTTATAATAGTTCAGCAAGTTTTTTCCACTTCCGACTCGAGACTGCCGTGCCAGGACGTTCCCATGTCGCCGCCATAGGCAATAGCCGATGATTCTCGCGGGCTGGATGAAGATTTTATGAAAAATAACTAGACGATAAAAAGAGAACGATAGCCTAGCATTTACAACTGGAAAGAACGGAGTTAATTCAGACAACATCCTCAAAAGGACAAAGAATAGTGCGATTTCCTGAACGACAGAATAACTAAAGTTACTACCCAGTGTCGATAAGTACATTTGCTAACCTTAAACCTAATTAAGACAAAGAGAAGTGTATGAGATGATAGGTCTAAAGCTGTAGGAATTGAAATTCTTTCAGTATTGGGAAATGTAATGCGAATGACATACTGTCAGAGAAAGACATAAAAGGATAAACAAAGCTCTTGGCACTGATCAATCTTTGAGGGATGCGCCATGCATTCGACTTCATTAAGCATCGTTTGGAGGTGAACGGGTGCCTTCACAATGACTCGCGGTGGCCTACCGATGTATCGAGCCAGTGCTGCTATCCTCCCAGACAAGTCTGGTATCAATTTGCCGACCCCGGAGGGATGGAAGGCTTGGTGGGCCATAGGCGCGGGGATCGATTCCATGCGTGCGTTGCAGGGCGCCTCCGACCAGTGCGCCACAATCGCCCAAGAGGAAGACATATTACTTACAAATCAGAAGTAGAGTTTTGATTTAAAGTTCGAAAGATAAAAAAGCGAACGGTTATATTGAGTGAAGAACTAAGGGCTGACTATTACAGGCCGGTAGCAATCATTTGTAAAAGTAACAGTAGAATAATCAATACACTCTATAGTAACTAGAGAACTACTTATTGCTTCTTCGAGTGACAAAAAAACAAAACCCGATAAAAAAAGTATAAAAGAAAAGTGAAGTAAGGAAAGAGGAGGTTATGAAAAATTGAGACTCCCATTTCCATGCTCAAAGGATGGGCTCTCTTAATGGCGGGCATTTAACAACAAAGAAAAGATGTTCTAGAAAAAAAAATTGAAATGTGACCATTAATTTTTCCATTGACAGGATAAAGAACGAGGCCAACTTGTCAAAGTGGTAATCGTTGTGCGATTCATTGAATTCGATCCGTTTTCAGACCCCCAAGGTGACGACTACCACATGGCTGACCGTATGCATTGAGATCAATCCATGAGCAAGATGCCACACTGGACCATATGCGTCAATTTAAGTGCATGCTCTTTCCGACCATTTAGTTTCTCTCAAAGAGTTATTTCTCTAGACTTCTGTGTTCAATCCATGGCTTATCCATCACAGACATTACGTCAGACATCAACTCTGAAATGATAATCCCCACACTTTACACAATTTCTGTGCAAAATAAAGTCAAAAAGTTTTCTTCGGACGAATTTTCAGCGTGCACTGCGCGCGGTTACAAATTAGGTGTAGTCAGTATATGCCAATTACCTAGAATTTTCCAAAATCTGTTCGGGATTTCTTATTGTTTGGGATCCTTTCAAACTACACAGCATCTCCTAAGACCGACTTTCCTTTAACCTTGGCACTGATCAAATAATTCACTATATCCTTGATGAGCTAACAATAGGTGATCTTTATTGACGGAAAAGCTGACGCTTCGGCAGATTCTGCCTTTTTCAGAGTCTGAAGACTCAGCGCTCGCTCAACAAGAATATAGTGAAATATTTACATGGTACCCACTTTGGTTAGTCCTTGACGTTACCACCTGTCTTGAGGATACAGATCTGGAAAGCTGCACAACTGTAATCGATCCCGACAAAAGTCGCGCTTAAGATGAGTGATAGCTTTTTTCGACACTATGATGTTTGTTCTCAATCCACTAGTTCTCAAAGCAAACACCACTCGCGAAACTTCTCGCTCCACTACTGTATCATATTCGTTGTGCTCGATTAACACTTCGGGACCAAAACTGGTTTATCGCAAAACGGTGATAATTTTCCGATGGAAATAAGAAACTTGTGGAGTTCAAGCCGTTCTTGACTTATAGGGAAGACCTTTCTCTACCTATTAACAGTAGGTATGGTTCTTTAAAACTATTTTCTGGCCTGAAATCTCCAAAATTAACGAAGACAAAGTCTAAATTTGCAAGAAGTTTGGGCAGTCATTAACACTAATATTGCATTTGGGGACACATTGTGCTCCATAGGACGAAACATCGCTGGTTCAATTGCTTTCACTTTCGAAATATGAGACTCACGAAAAAAGTAACGAAAGTGCGGTTTCTGGCCTCCATTAAAACAGGATTTCGTCTTGGGAGAATGAGAGATCGAGTATGTCACTGGCGAAGATCTGCAGACTCTAATGGTTTCTATTTAAATTAATAGAAATTACTTTGAGTTGAGATAGATTGCTTTAAAGCTGAAAACAGTCGGGATTGTGTGAGTAGAAATAAATTGCGTTCGACTCTAATTGTTAATATCCCTCCTGATCCTGATGAGTCCTGAGTGCGACCTATTCCGCAACATGTATTTTCTAAAAGCATTTACATGAAAAAGGAATTAAGAAACGTCCCTGGAAAATCCTCCACGGCGTAAACTTAACCTTTCAAACGTTCGACTTCCTGAGAAAATCAAATTTATTGTACACAAAGTTCGACTTCGTAGAATATGTGAATCTCAGCACTTCCTTCATTCGGTTCGTTGTATCGCATATGTCAACAATGAAAGCTTTCGGGCTTGAGTATAGGTTCGGCTGCAGGACTATAGAGCTTTGTCTTCCTCGTGAATACCATAGAACATTGGGTCAGTTGAACATCGCTCAAACCCTGATATACCGTTACTGGAGCGTTCCTAGGTCTTCACCATACACTGTTGTCAACCTTTGTGGATCGCTGAGAACTCTTCCCAGATGGGCCCAGTACGAATGGAAGCGGCGAGGGATATTCGTATCCAAAGAGAAATGTCATCTATTTCAATTATGCAAAGTCGATGTGTGGATGTGGTTTCGCTGACGTTGCGTAATTTTTGTCATCCATAAAAACTATCTCTCCCTATTCAGTGGGGTGGTTGATTGAAAGTGAAAATGAATGGCTGCCATTAACCAATGATCGTTTCCTCTATGATGACATTCAGATTAAAACTCTACGCCACTCACGCATGAAACGACTTAATTTTAAAAGTGCAGCACATAAGTCAACTAAGCCTGAATATGAGGCTCAAGGCAACTTCTAGAAAGGAAATGGAATCAATGAAAGACAAATGGGCACAATGGACGTTGACTGCAGCGGTAAAAACAACTCATTGATGCTGGATCCGCCTATTTGCCCTGCCCATTGTGACAGTTGTCCAGTTGCTGTGATCACGAGTACAACTTACTCAAGAAGGGCTAGATGAAAGTTGTGGAATTGTTCTATAGTTTTAACTCACTCTACGACCGCAAATGAAATAAGATATTGATAAAATTCAAACAATCCACAACATCTGATTTCTTTTTCTCATGATCTCAAGGGCTTTCTTAACGTTAG